AACAGTAATATCAGCAAAATAATATAATAAATATCATTTCAGACACTAAAAAGCAAAGTCCAAGAACTTGAATAGTGCAGACTATGGAAACTCATTTTATAAATTGTCTGATAATTTGTCTTATTACAATAGATCTAACAGAAACTAGTATGTGTACCCAGAGTTGAATATATATTTTGACAGAATAGGAAAAGCAAGGACTTAAAACAGAAAATCTTAAATGATAAACATCGAAATTTAGTGTTGTTGTTTACGTTTGATGGTGGGACCATTATTTGGAGAAATATCAAGCAACCATGCATTGCCGATTCTACCATTGATGCCAAGTGTTTGGTAGCCTGTGAAGTTATTAAGCCCCCGTTTGTTTCCTATTATCTTTCTATTAAAATGAAAAATATGGTTGTGATCCATCACATCAAGCTACCATATTCAACTTTTTATCTCTTATGTGAGATCATAACGGTTATATTTTTCATTCTCAAATTTACATTAATGTGTACGAAACAGGGCCTAAATCGACTGTATAACTTAGAAATTCCTTATGGACGTTGAGGTGGTGCCTGCATCTGCACAATTCTTACACTGTATTGGGATAACGGTGGGACTGCGGTCATGAAGACCAAAAAGTGGAAACGTTTATCTACTAAAATTAACATACCTTGGCCCTCACTAATGCAGACCCTTCCATTGATCAAATTAGTAGTATTGCGCGTGCGTGTTCCAGGGAGACAGAGTCGAAGCATATCAACAGGAATCCATTGTAATCGGAAAAAGACAGAGTCGAAGCATATCAACAGGAATCCATTGTAATCGGAAAAAGAAATTGGTATACACGTGTTGAAGAATGGTCACAGTTATGACGTGTCCTTCATTGCCACCGCCACACCGCCTCAGGGCAGCTTTTCTACTGGCCTTTCCTAAAACTTTTATTTACAACCTGTTTGAAAGTAATTTTTTGGTCTAAAAAATTTATTTTTTCATCGTTATTTCACTATTTCAATTATTATATTTGATTTTTTCTCTCACAGATAAACCTCACTTTTTTTTCTAAGGATCAAAAACTCAATTCTCAAAATCAGTCCCAAACAGGCAGTTTTGTCTGAGCCCTATTATTTTCTCATTAAAATGAAAAATATGACGTTATCCATCAATCAAGTCACCATATTTGATTTTTTTTATCTCTTGTATGAGGTTCATAACGATTATATTTTTCATTCTTATTTTTACAATAATGTGACTCAAATGATAGCTAAAATTTTGTAAGAACCCAAATTTGGGTAATTTGCAAAGATGATTCCCCAACTATGGCCTTTTTACGAACTAATGCTTTCATTTTTGGCATAACCATCCTCTGGCACCTTTTATTTGGTAGCAATTATCTAATTTATCTGAAGATTTTAATTAGAAATTAGAAATAAAGCCCAAACATGGGCAAAATCTCTTATTGTATTGATTCTTCGCCGGGAAAAATACATAATTACAATCGTTTAAGTATACAATTTCAAATTTAACAAACTTAAAAAAATATTTCAAAAATCAGGTGATAAATAACAATAATATATTGTATATATTTCTATGATATTATTATCATATATATCATTGAGTTTCCTACAAGAGCATCAGGTTCTCTTAATAAAATCTTGTAATCCTAAATCATTCTCCACTTTGATAATATTTAAATTTAGAATGTTATTACCATTTTAAACTTCTATTTCATTTTCGAATCCTTTGAACTTTTCAAAAACTTCATAATCAAACTTCATTATTATAATTATGACTATCACAGATTCACAGCCATATGTAAACATGATGAAATAAGAAAGAACACATTTGACGATAATTTACATAGGTTAACTTCTTAATATAACAGTCATTTCTCATTTTCTAGTAAATTATGACTTGGTCATTTTGCCTCATAGGTAAGGTTCACATATCTTATTCATTATCAAATGAGTTTTAAGTATTCATTATTATGTAACTAATATATCGGTAACTTATTAACAATCCTCAAATAATGATTTTAATCCAAGAAATTCAGTCCAATAATCTTATTAGCATAAATCATTGCTATGCAAGCTCAAATGATTACTCAATTATAACTCGCAACATTAAACATGATGAAAGATATAAATGTACAAACGTATTATCATGCAATAATTTATTTAGTACTAGTAATGTTATAGCACCAATCTATAAGTCATTATGTGATAAATGCAAGAATTAATCTACTTATACAATTGTTGTTGACAATAATAAATAATAACATTGATGTTGTCAAAATCTGATCAATTAATTTTAAAAACAGTTTTTGAAATAGATGAATGTGATCTTGACAAGTACGATTGTCAACCAATATTGTAAGAAATAATTGTACAAGTAATATGACTCTAAATTCAATGAAAGGTATGTGATTTAATTACATACTTTTCATTTTGAGATGAACAAGATCAATGGTAGAGTTTTATATAGACATCCGCTTGACAAAATTTCATTGACATTTAAAAAAGTTAAAGGAAAAAGCTGCCAATCAAAACTGCCATTTTAGCACCTGGAAATAGTCATTGTCGTTGACCTTGTGCAATTAGTCTAATCCTTTCATTTAATAACCAGCCGTGCTACTGAGCTAGGCTCAGTGTCAGGCTCAAAAATCACCTCAGCCCCCGATTTCACATCTTTTATTCTTCTTCTTTTTTTTCCAGATCCAAAGGTCAAGGTGTTGCCACCTCAGCACCTGGATTTAGCCCTATTCTAGCAGGTTAATTCTTTAATAACACCTGGCGCTAGTCTAGCACAAGTTAGGTGTTCTTCAATTGCATATTTACTGTGTTGGATTTTTTATATGCTGCAGATAATTTCTCTTATCAATTTCTATGAAATATTTTCTTGGAAGTTTTTATGAGAATTTAATATATGGTGCCACCAATGCATGAATAGATTATGTTCGTGAATCTCTCAGTTTCTAAATACACACTACAAGAAATTTTAAACGAAAATTTTCCAAATTTTTTTGTCTTACGACCATTTTTGATGAAAAGTAAAATAAGCGCTTTCAACTTAAACAACAAGATGGTTACAATTCAAAATTAGTCGTGGACGTTTTATCTAAATTAATCAATCTTAAATCTAATAAAATAGAAGTATCTAATTAAGTTTCGTAAAAGCTATATAATCTCTTTTATTATCCACATTATATTTCTTTGAACTCTAGTTGGGTGTCTAATAAAGTTTGTCTCAATTTTACTAAAATATTTGATGTATATGAATAAATAAAAAAGACTCATTGCAATCATATCATCATCAACATTAAGGGGAATTTTTACTTTAATGAATTATTTTTTTTCCTGATGACTTTTTTTTTTTTTTAATCAATCCAATATATATTTTCTTTTTTGTCCTCATGGCTCCGTCCCTGACGTTACTGTTCCGATGTCCCAATCCAATTGGTTATTACACTAATATATGCATTCCGATAATGTAAAATAAAATTAAGATCGATAATTAACGTGCAAAATACCCTTTCAACCAGGGGCGAACTTGCATGAAGTCATGTGGGGTCAAACGATCCTAATAAAATCTTGATTTTTTTTTCGAAAATAATTGTTTTGACCCTTTTTTGATGTACTTTGATGCACTCATTTTGGGATGTCAAGTGAAGTCAAAATATTACATTCTTTTTTATTTTTTTTGATAACTCAGGTGTCCAAGTTTCACCCGACTAATTCTGAAGAGTGGCAGCCTTCCCCCCAATTTGCCACTCAGGTAAATCCGGATGTGAACATAGCTTAAACACACTTAGACTGGACATTCAGGATGCGGTTCTCCTCCCTGTAGACCTCCCTTTATGACATGCAAATAGGATCCTTGGAGGGACGACAAAGCGCACCATAACTTTGTCTCCACAGGACAACTGCCTTCCAATTGTCGCGGGAATTCGAACCTCCAATGCTCCATGTGAAACCCTCCTGCTTTACCACTATACCATGCTTGTGAGGGCCAAAATATTACATTCATAATACCATTTCAAAGTGTTCATGGCTTAGTTGTTTGTTCATTAATGGCATGCGAAAGACCAACTGTAGCAAAAGTTATGACGCATCAAAGTTGGCATTTCTAAACTAGTATTTCGAGATTTTCGATAATAAGTTAATTTTCAAAATTTGCCGATTATCGTATACCATCCAAATCCACAAATCGCCTAGGTCGTCTAGAAGCTCGTTTCGAGAACTATATCAAAGTTATATTGAATCGTACAAAAGAATATTGACAATAGGTAAATATGTGTCAAACATACGTCTTAAAAGAAGTTTCTAACTCATCTTTTCTTTAAAAAAATCAATTATTTTATTTAACGTTTAATATTTTTGCACAATAAAATTTTTCATATAATTTACATCATTTTATGAAGAAATTTACTTGAAATATGGCGTCAAAAATTTTAGGATTGTTACAGATTAAATATAATTTGAATTACTTTCGAATTACTTTTGTATTAAATTTAAATTTCATTTACTTCCTAGATTGAATGTGAATCAATTTATTTACTTCTTATATTTAATTTGATTTACTCGTCATCAGCTCAACATATGTCAACGAAATTATAAACAGAACTATACAAATAGCAAAATTCATTTAATAATATTGATAATGATATAATTATAAGAGGTTTTCAAAGTATCAAAATGCATATTAATTTCATTAACATAATATTGTTTATTTTTTCAAAAAAAATTATACTTTAATTTTTTATCTCACAACATAAAAGGTCTAGGCCTGCTTCCAACACGGTTTAACGAAGACGGGGTCTTCTTTCTTCATTGGTGTTAACTAGGCCGGCATAATAAGCAATTATTTATGAAATAATTAAATAAATGAATTAATGCTGTTAATTACTATATAAGCAGCCTTGGATTATCGTTTGTTTTGCACCTCAAATCTTCTGCTCATAACTGATCATCTTCTTCTCCATTTCTTACCAACCGAATCTTCAAATACTTAAAAAAATGGCATCCCATAATTTTCTTTTCTTTGGAATCTTGATTGCAATTTGCTCAGTTGTTTTGGCATCTGACCCCAGCCCTCTTCAAGATTTTTGTGTTGCTGACCCCAATGGCCCAGGTATATAATATTGTCGAATTTCAAATTAACATGATCTGATTCAAAATTTTCAACCAAATTGAGCGCGTCTAAGCATATTTTTTCACGGTAGCAAAATCACTATAGCTAGCTTCACTGAATTTGGCACTAATAAACATGAAGTTACACGTACTACTCTATACTTAATGCTTTTTTTGACAGCGCTTTCAAGTGCTTATCATCCGTGGGTGTTACAAAGTGTGAATGTGTGGATAAAATTTATATTTGACCAATTTTAAATATTATACAAGCTTTGCTAAACATTATTTAGATTTTGCCCTTCTGAAAGGGACATTAGCTCCAAAACGATTGAAAATGTTTCAAAAAGGCAGGCACCCATGACATAGAAAAAGTTCATGTCCTTTATCTCGAAAGATAGGGTGGCCTAATTAATTGATTCACAATTGCATAATTGAATCTGTTCATTTTTCTTATATAACATCAAAGAAGAAAAAGAAGTTTGCTGGTTAGTAAATAATAATATTCCTAATTTTATTAATTTCTGCATAATTTAATTCTGTTTGTTTATAATTTATGCAGTGTTTGTAAATGGTCATACATGCAAGGATCCAAAGCTCGTAGAGGCCAATGATTTCTTCTTAAGTGGGCTTCACTTACCAGGCAACACATCAAATGCAGTAGGATCAAGAGTGACCCCTGCAACTGTGGCTCAAATTCCAGGACTCAACACTCTCGGAATTTCCTTAGTTCGGGTAGACTATGCACCGTGGGGCATCAACCCTCCACACACACACCCTCGAGCAACTGAAATTTTGACAGTAATTGAAGGCACTCTTGAAGTGGGATTTGTCACTTCCAACCCCGAAAATAGACTCATCATGAAAAAGCTCGAAAAGGGTGACGTTTTTGTTTTCCCCGTGGGCCTTGTCCATTTCCAACGTAACGTCGGATATACAAATGCTGTTGCCATTGCAGCTCTTAGCAGCCAAAACCCTGGTGTTATTACGATTGCAAATGCTGTTTTTGGATCAAAACCCGCAATAGCGAATGATCTTCTTGCAAAGTCATTTCAAGTGGATATTAAGACTATTGATTGGATTCAGTCTAAGTTTTAAGCAGCATGCCTGAATTCTTGCTTGTGAACAAATTATGACGTAGACCAAGATTTGTCTTTCAAGTGTGTTAGAAATTGTTTTCCATTGAATTTCTTTCAATTGATTAATTGAATTATTCTTTGTGTTGTTTCATGATGAAGATTAATTATTGTTTGTATTGTTCCATGTTTAAGAATAAGAAATATTCCATTTTTTCTGATCAATTAATTCAAATCCAATGGCCCTTAAAAAATACTATGCAATTCAACTCTGAACAAGAAATAACCGATAACAAAGAACACAATGATCTACCTATTGATTCTTAACAAGACTTAATACCGTATATTCGACAATCAAAATTCAAAACATTCATGCATGAATGCTGAAAATTGATTCTTGTTCAACAAATAGTTCATTCGGCAAATATCGATTTTCTATCGAATACAAAAATTCAATAATTTTATTTAATAAAGGACCAGTCAACAAAAAATCCAAGTTCAACTTTTAAAGGAAACATCCTCCAAATAAATAAATAAAATAAAAATCTCTAGAAAACTAATCTAAATACATAGATAATAAAATAAATCTATAATAAACTAATCCTTAAAAAAGTTATTTTGACAATAAAATAATTCATGATAAAATAATAAAGTGACCGTTAACCTATTCTATATAACACGGCCAAAAATCAGCAAGTTTAAGTTTTCAGCCCATAAAATTATGTTCAAATGCTCATTTCTACTTAGAAAATTGGGAAAAATACACAGTCCCTGTTTGATTTGGATAAAAAAAAATCAAAATTTTTATTAGATTTTGATAAAAGTTAATGAAATGTATATATAGTTTAAAAGTTATGAGTTTAATGAAATGTGTGGTTGAAAATAATTTTAGAAAAAATTGAGTTTTAAGAAACCAAGCAGTACTTATATTAATATTTTACATGGTTTAAAAGACGAGAATAATAATGAATTCATGCTGAGTAGGAATCCTTGAACTTATAGAACGTAATAAATTAAGACCTTGACAACCCCCGATACATGAAGAAGTATCAAGCCCATTTGGTTGGCCTTCAATTTACTTTAGTTTACATTTTTAATTTATTTATTATACTCATTTTCAATCGTATATTCACACAATAAAATATTTAACACTTAAATCCAAAAAAAAAAATCCTACTTTTTAATTAGACTTCTTCAAAAAAATAATATTCAAAACATAATTTTTTCAAATTAAAGGCTACCAAATTGGGGAAAAACATATAAAAAATTGATGGATTTGATTAGTGATGGCAACGGGGCGGGTTCGGGGCGGGGCGTCCTCTCCCGCCCCGCACCCCGCCCCACCTTCGACGGGGCGGGGTAATTTTCTTGCCCCGTTTAATTTTTTTTAATTTCGAGTTTAATAAAATACAGATAACATTCAAGTTGAACTTTTAATAAAGAATGCCATTATTTTATGTAAATTTAAGTTTTTGTTTTGGGATAAAATTACTTATAGTGTAAAATGATTTTTAGAGAATGTGTGAATAAAAAGTATGAAAAAATGATAGGTCTACATGTAAATTATGATATTAAAAAAATTGTGATCGAAAATAAGTTTAAATAAAAAGCGATTTTGAAATATGTTGCATAGATGAACTCTATAATAAAAAAAAAAAAAATTCACGGGGCGGGTTTTTTTGCCCCATTCGGGACGGGGCGGGGTAAATTGTCATCACTAGATTTGATTGCCACTTAGAAAATTATATTCAATACAAAAATTAAAAAATAAAATAACTGGATCTTATTTTAAATCTCATAAAATTAACATATGAAAGAACTATCCGAATCGAATATTCATAAAAGTCAAATGGAAAAAAAAAATCTATATACTAACACTTATCACACGAAGAAGCATTTACTAAAGGTGTTGGTAATCTACTTAAATGTGTATAGCGAAAATTAATACAAATTTCAATTCCCACTAGGATTCACCTTTGTGTTTAGATGGGAATTGTGATAAAGATTATTCATTTGACAAGATTTGCAAACTCTTTTGTTATTCTTTCGTTCTAATAATCTTGATTCGCCACCCACAACTATCAATTGTCCAGCCTCCAATGGTGATTCTCATAGAGAACATGATTGTAGGATTAAAGTTTTTTCTTCTTGTACTTGCAAGAATAATGAATTCTCTACAAATTGTAAACTTTAATAACTTATTTATATAAACCCAAATGTGTTTGGCCTGACCCGGTCCAATATTTAATTAACTCATTTAATTAAATTTGGTATGTAAATTAATTAATCTAATTAATTAATTCGGGTCTATAAATAAGCAACCCAATTAATTAATTTATCCAACACTTGTTCAATTAATTGATTGATAAATTACAATATTCCAGTTCTCCTTTTGTGTGTGACTCATCAGGTTTCCAATCACGATGCCTAACGATGTGAAATATTATTTTGATCTAATCAATATTGATAAATTAAAATATCCCTTCAATTTATCACCAATTCACACTCACCGTCCCAGATTGACATCTAGCAATGTGTCAGGGCAATACATGTGACGAAAAATGTCACGTGGTATGACAAAATCAAATTCGTTCATTTATCGTGAAATTATAATCCCTTCATCAATATGATCCGATCAATTACGAAATATAGAAGTGTGTCTATCTCAATTATCAATCATTTATTTCACTCAACTATTAAGTTAATATAAGTCGAAAACTCATTTTCGACTTATGAGTACACCTTGTGATGTGAGCCCGCGTAGGCAAATGCTACAGAACCCACGAACAAGATGAAAATCTTCCCAAGAAATCCAAAGCAAGGTTTTGGATTGGAATTCAATAAATCTGGAACCAAGCAACCCAAATCGCCGACGATGTGTGAACCTCTTGATTACGTAAAATTATGAAATCTCACCCGGTTGATTTGAACGCCACAAGAATTAGATCTTGATAAGTTCGAAAGTTATTCAATTGGAAGAACAAAGAAAAAGCAATTAAAGTCTTTTAATTAATCAATAAGTCAAAGGTTCTTTACAATGAAGGAATAAAGCTTCTATTTATACTAAATCGTAAAATAGAAGTCAAAAAGGAATAAAATACTAATAATCTAGTAGAATCTCGAAAATAACCATCCAATATAATAAGAATTTCACTAGGAATAAAATTCTAACAAAATATGGAAAAAACATAGAAAAAGGAAAATTTGTCCCCGAAATAACACTATGCGACCACATAGTGGTCGCATAGTTCACTTGAACTATGACCGCATTGGCCCTGCCACACCCTTTGCGACTGCAAGCCCCGTTCTACTATGCGGTCGTATGGTAGACCAGTTTGCCTCCGTTTTCGTTGGCTTGTATTGAGTTGATCCAATTTGATTCGACTTTTGACCCGAACATGAAATTGCCTCGTTTTGCGTCCCAACATCGTTCCATCAATGGTTTCTTGAACGAGCAATCTCATCTCCTCTTTTACTCGCTTCATCCTTGCTCGAGTCATCGGACCGTCCTCGACTATCAACGGATCTTTCTTCGGGTTTGACGTTAGACTTGACTTTGATGCTTGTGGCTCTTGGATCACATTATCCTCTCCCTCTTCGAAAGGATTCGTCCTCGAATCTGTACCTGCATCAAAAAGAGAAAGATCAGACACATTAAAAGTTGTTGAAACGTTATACTCACCTGGAAGATCTAATTTGTATGCGTTGTCATTGATCTTCTTAAGCACTTGAAACGGTCCATCTCCCTGTGGCAACAACTTTGATTTTCTTTGTTTTGGAAACCGCTCTTTCCTAAAATGCACCCAAACCTAATCTCCTGGTTCGAATGTAACCATCTTCATGCCCTTGTTTGCTTGCTTTGCATAGTGCTTACTCTTCTTCTCAATTTGCTCTCACACCTTTTCATGAAGTGACTTCACCAGCTCAGCCTTCTTCTTCCCATCCAAGTTACCCCGTTCATTCACAGACAAAGGTATTAAATCCATAGGTGTTATAGGATTAAAATCATAAACAATTTCAAATGGAGAAAACGATGTAGTAGAGTGTATCCCTATTATATGCAAGCTCTATGAAAGGCAATCACTCTTCCCAATTCTTCAAATTCTTATTAACCAAAGTGCGTAATAGTTGTGTCGTGATCCTATTCACTACTTCAGTTTGTCCATCGGTTTGTGGGTGACAAGTTGTAGAAAATAGTAATTTCGTGCCTAATTTATTCCACAAGACCCTCCAAAAGTGACTAAGAAATTTGACATTCCTATCTGACACAATACTTTTAGGTAATCCATGCAAGCACACAATTTCTTTAAAGAACAAGTTTGCAATGTTAGTGGCATCATCAGTTTTGTGACATGGAATGAAATGTGCCATCTTACTAAACCTATCCACAACTACAAAAATCGAATCCCGACCCTTTTTAGTCCTGGGCAAACCTAATACAAAATCTATTGAGATGTCTACCCAAGGTTCACTAGGTATTGGCAAAGGTGTATAAAGTCCATAAGGTAAGACCCTAGATTTAGCTTGTTTACAAATTATGCATCGACTACAAATACGTTCCACATCAACTTTCATTTTAGGCCAATAAAAATGCTTAGTTAATATTTCTAAAGTCTTTGCTACCTCAAAGTGACCCATTAGACCCCCACTGTGTGCCTCTCTAACTAACAATTCATGCAGAGAGCAATTACGAACACATAATTTGATGCTTAAAGAACTTATCCACAACCCCTTTATGACATGAATTGTAAATGTTGGAAAATTCAGAATCATTAGCATACATGTCCTTAATGTACTCAAAACCAAGCAATTTTGCACTTAAAATAGTTAAAAGCACATACCTTTGCGACAATGAATCTTCTACTGCATTTTCCATACCTTGTTTGTAACGAATGACATATGGAAAAGTTTTCATGAATTCCATCCAGCGTGCATATCGTTTGTTTAACTTACCTTGACCCCGCAAATGTTTCAGTGATTCATGATCAGAATGAATTACAAACTCTTTTGGCCACAGGTAATGCTGCCATGTTTTCAAGGCTCAAACAAGTGAATAGAGCTCATTGTCATACGTAG